AAAAAAAAAAAAAAAAAAAAAAAAAAAAAAAAAAAAAAAAAAAAAAAAAAAAAAACATTACACGCATAATGTGAACATGATCACTATAAACATGGCGATGTCCTATTAGACAGGCAGTTCTGCATGTTTTACTCTTCTCTCTTTCTCTCTCTAGAAGTCTTGAACCTTAAAAACCCAAATCTCTCACAGCCAACCTCTGATCCGTCTTCAATGGCGACTCCCATGGTCGTGATAGAAGAAACCAAGCCCGGCGAGCCCCTCAAAACCAGAGCCGCCAGAAAAACCGCCGCCAAAAATCCCCACCAAAAAAAACCGCCGCAGAGAGGCCTCGGCGTTGCTCAGCTCGAACGCTTAAGGCTTCAAGAGAGGTGGAAGAAAATGACCCAAATCTCCCCTCCCCATCCCTTCCTCCTCGATTTCCCCTTGCAGTTCCCCGTCGCCGGCGCCTCTTCGGCGCCGGTCGGTAATGACTACGGTACCGGCGTTTTGGGGTTCATCGGGAATTGTGGGTTTGGCAGCGGCGGTGGTGGACTGATGACCATGGAGCCGTTTCCACACGGCGGTGGAGCCATGGTGGACCCCAGACTTTTGATTGGAAATAGCGTTGAGGCTTCCAGAGAGCTCTCTTCAATCCCAAACTTGCCGCCTCCACCTCCTCCGCCGCCGTGTGTTTCTGATCGTTGTGATATTTGCTTTAAGGTAAAATCTCTATAATCCAATATATATTTTACAAAAACCATTTGAAATTTAAACATCGCGGTTTTTTATTCCCAGAAGAAACGAGTCAATTTCAGCAATACAATGAAAGAGAAGAACATTATCGGAACTGCAGAGCCGCCGCCGGTGAGTTTCGATTTTCTCGGCCTGAGTACAAATTCCGCCGCCACAGATTTTGATTTCAGTTTAAATTTCAACCAGGTGATTCAAAAACAAAAACCCAGAAAAACCCAGATCATGAAATTCCAAAATAAACCCGAAATTTAACGATCTTCTTGTCGGTGTAATGAAACAGGACGGTGCAGGGGTTAAGCAAATACACCGGAAAGTGGCAGGGAAGGGCGGCGGCGGCGGTGAAGGAAGTACATTAATGGAGTACGAGTTTTTTCCAAGGAAAAATGGCAGAGGTACAGAGTTCGAGGAGCTGAAAAGGCCAAATGAAGAATTGGGATTATTTGCAGAAGAAGAAGAAGAAGAACAGGAAGAAGAAGAAGAAGAAGCAGTACAGGCTGTGGATCATGGAGAAGGTTCTTGTATCACTACGAGCTGCAGTGATATCATTAATGGCGGTACCAGAAATTCCACTGTTCTTGATTTGTCTCTTAAGCTTTCATTTTAGATGCAAAAATGGCGGAATCCCTTTTTTGTTCATGATTTCCATGTGAATCAGACACCCATTTATATCTAAATATATTTATATACATTTCATTTTGTTCATCCTATCATCTTTTACTTTGAACAAATTTAGGGTTTATATAACTTCATAATTCAACATAAACCCTATACAGATTTTAAAATTTTAATCTCGCTTTTGTTTTTGAAATTTACGAGTTTATTCAAAACTATCTGGGTAGAAACTTAAGACACATTTGAAAGTTTTAAGTAAAAGGTTAGAAATACTCTCACTCCATTGGGCCAGCGTCCTAGCTGATACCCCAACTAATGTGCGATCTCACAATCCACTCCTTGGGGCTAGCGTCCTAGCTGACACCCATCCGATGTGGGATCTCACAATCCACCCCTTGGGGCCAACGTCCTAGCTGATACCCAACCAATGTGGGATCTCACAATCCCCCCTTGGGGCCAACGTCCTAGCTGATACCCAAGCGATGTGAGATCTCACAATCCACCTCTTGGGGCCAGCATCCTAGTTGACACCAAACCGATGTGGGATCTCACAATCCACCCCTTGGGGCCAGTGTCCTAGCTGACACCCAAGCGATGTGGGATCTCACCATCCACTCCTTGGGGGCCAGCATTGTAGCTGACACACCACTCGAAGTCTATCTCTTATACCATTTGTAACAATTTAAGTCCATCACTAACAAATATTTTCCGCTTTACGCGTCTGTTAGAGAGAGATTTCCACACCCGTATAAGGAATATTTCATTCATCTCTCCAACCGATGTGGGATCTCACAGTAGATCTACATGACATCTAATCCACAAAAACTTGGGGGAGCCACTATGGGGAACCTGCATTTACATGGACGATTCTATACTTTATAGTCGAAAAGAATCACTACAAGAAGTTTTCCCGACTATTGTTAATCCGAGTAAACCCCATCTGATTGCTAAAGAAACGAACCCGAACAAATAAGTTTTAGTTTTAGAAATTCGACTAAAAATTCAAACTAGGAATGTAAAAAAAGAGGGTTTGAAAAGGGGGAAAGGGATGAAAGCAAGAGAATGTGAGTTCTGGGGGCGGCAGGCAAAGGGAGGGCTGATTTAGAACAGAATTCCAAAAGCGTAGAAACAAGCAGTCCATGCAACCCCCACTGATACCTGAGCTGAGTGTAAATATGGACCAAAGAGAAACAAGCAGATAGCAGCAGGTAGCAGATTGATAGCAGCAGCGGCAGCAGAAGGGCTCTAATAGTGAAGGCGCACTGTCTTCTCCATTGCCTCTTCAACCATCTTTCCTTTGCTCTTCTTCGACTTTACCCGATATAGCTTTTCAATTCTTTTTGTTGTTCGCTCAAAATTCTTACAATAATCTAATCAAAGATGGTTGAATCAAATGAATTAACGACGTTTGAAACACTGTCATTTGTAAGGGTTTCATAGGACTCGAGAAACCAACCAATCTAGATTTCTCAACCCACACTTAAAAGTTGGGTTGAATTTTTAGACAATCGAAAGGTTGGATTGGGTTTCGGGTTGATATTTTTTTGGTCGAGTTTACCGTATGTTACAACCCCAATTGAACCCTATCATACTTTTAAAGATTTTAAAATTTTTTTATCTATAATTTATAATTATTTAGATACAATCTTATATAAAATATATTAAAAATTCACAAATTAACCATCTAAAATTATTTACATAAAAAATTAATAAAAAATAACAAATGAAAATTGTAAAATAATATTGTTATAAAACCAAAAATAATGTCACACAACATTAAACTAAATAAAAAAAATGTATATCCGCAGACTAAGCAATAAAGTACTTTGGATTTTTCCCTCCGCCTCGGGTTGTCTTGCGATCCCTTCTACAGCTTGGCCCGCAACAGTACCTTGACCAACTCCAGGTCCAATAGAAGCAAGCCCGACGGCCAATCCAGCAGCAATAACGGAAGCAGCAGAAATCAGTCGATTCATAATAAGTTCCTCACACCAAAAGAAAGAAATGGTTAATGATACAATCAACCAATGAATTATAACTTATTATTCCATCGCTAAGATTTATCCAACTAAAAACTCCCAATTGAAGTAATAATATTATTGATATTGAATGGTCAGAATTATTTCAATCTCTCTTTTTTAGTTCCTATCCACCCACGTAGTTTTTGTGAATTCATACGACTTTTTATTTGGGTTGGGTTAACTGAAAGTTTTATCTATGAACCCGAAATTAAACCGATTTAGTTTGGGTTCAGAAAAATAAACCCAACCGTACCGGAATGCTAATCCAACCAAATCCAACCTTTTCGATTTGAGTTGGTTCGGGTTGTCGGGTTGAATATACATGTAATATTTATACCAATAATTTTTTTAATTGGGCATAGGTAAGATTAGGCCCAAGATTATGGGGTTTTCTTGTGTTCATTTCCGACCAGCAAAGCCCACGAACAAAAAGAATCTTCTATAAGATGTTTCCCATCTTCCTTTTCTTCAAAGCTCGTTTTCCATTCCGAACAATTCCCGGATATCTCTGAGCTTCCATTTCCCACAATTTCTCCATCCAATTTCGATTTTTCTTCATGGATCCTCAGCAGCAGCTTCGAGATCACACCTTAGATCCTGACCCCCAACTTCCGTCCATTAAAATTCACCATCCGGCTTCCCCTCGCCACCCATCCGCCGCCACCCCCGCCGCTACCCCCACCCCCACCGCCGGCGCCCGCCGCAAGATAGGTGTTGCCGTTGACCTTTCCGAAGAGAGCGCTTATGCTGTCCGCTGGGCTGTTCAACACTACCTTCGCCCTGGTGATGCTGTTATTCTTCTCCATGTTAGCCCTACTTCCGTACTCTTCGGCGCCGATTGGGGGGCCATTGATATTTCTCTGAAGACTGCTGGTGATAATTCAGATGATGAGGGTGCGGGCGATGAAAACAATCAAAATCAGAATCGCAGCGAGCGGTCGAAACGTAAAATGGAGGACGATTTTGATGCTTTCACTGCCTCGAAAGCTGCCGATCTAGCTAAACCTATAAAAGATGCTCAGATTCCGTACAAGATTCACATAGTGAAGGATCATGACATGAGAGAGAGGCTGTGTTTGGAAGTGGAGAGATTAGGACTCAATGCCCTAATCATGGGCAGTCGGGGCTTTGGTGCAGCAAGGCGCGGTAAAGACGGCGGACTTGGGAGTGTCAGCGATTATTGCGTCCATCATTGTGTGTGTCCTGTGGTGGTGGTACGGTTTCCAGATGAGAAGGAGAGCGGTACTATCGGCGGCGCTGTGGTGGCGCTGAAGGAAGAGGACGAGGCCAGGATGAAGTCTGCATCTGCGGAACCGGTGGAGTCTTAAGGTTAGAAATCTCTGTTTTTCGAGACTGCTTCTCGTATTGTAATGGGTTTCCTTGGTTTGTTTTTTTGAAGCCAGAAGCGATTCTAAGTCTAGTTGTCGTCGAGTTTTCCATTGGAACAAAGTTGAACATACGGTCTATCAGAATGTTGCAAATTTGCTAAGTATTTCCCCACTTTCATGTTTGTTTAGTAGAGCATGGCTATGGTGAACTTGTTTCTGTTCTTGCTTTCAATAACTTAATGTAATTATGTTATATGTAATTGAAGACATAGCATCTTGTGTGTTGATTTTGTATTTTCATCTGGATTGGGGAAACAAACTTGGAATGAATGTCTCTTATCAAAATAGCGATGATGATAATCTTTAAGTTCTGTATAGAGGAAATTATGATAATCTGATATTGTTGACTAGGATACTGGGTGAAATTTGTTTCTGGGTTAAGTTATATGGATGATTAGACTCTGAAAATGACAGTTCTTGTTGTATTGAATGATCAAGTTTACATGAGATCCTATATCGGTTGGAGAGGGAAACAAAGCACTCCTTATAAGGGTGTGGAAACCTCTCCCCAGTAGACGCGTTTTAAAATGATACGTAAGGAGCTGAAGTGGACAATTTCTACTAACGGTGGGCTTGGGCTGTTATAAATGGTATCAGAGCTAGACACCGGACGGTGTGCCACCGAGGACGCTAACCCCCAAAGGGGGTGGATTGTGAGATCCCACATTGGTTAGAGAGGGGAACGAAGCACTCCATAAGGTTGTGGAAATCTTTTTCTATTAGACTCTCTTTAAAATATTGAGGGGAAGTCCGAGAGAGTCCAAAAAAGACAATATTTGCTAGCGGTAAGCTTGATCGGTTACACTTGTCATCCTTCCTTAATAGGGACATGACGTGGATCTAGTCTTATTAGAATTATGAATCCAACTACTAATCTCATTGAGAACTTGGTGGATTTGTTGATCGGACTGTTGTGAATTTAGTCTCTAAATTTGTCACTTCAGGGCTGGTGGAGAGTTGTAAGAATGATGAGTGGTTTGGTAAAGAGTTTTGAAAGGTAAAAAGTCCCTTTGAAAACACTACTCTCAAAGCTCATCTTTAGCTCACTCTAAGCTTAAGCGGTACGGTTTAACGCCTTGGCGTCCTTAATCACGAATCTACTCTTGTAGTTACTGCTTTTAAGTCGAGTTATGTTCTATGGAGTATGAATGCAAGTTTTTCTTTATGTAGATGCACCTAAGTTGGGCACCCTCCCCCTCCCTTACCATTGCTAGTAAATAGAAACTAATTATGTAGAAATATAACCTTAACCTTCATGCCCACATTGCAATGGTTTCTGATGTTTCTTATCCCCCCAAGAAAAGCAATGGTTTTGTATTCACATCTGAATATCTTTACACATTCTAGTGACACTTTTATTTGATTCAGATTATGATATTCGTATTTGGATTCCAATCCGAATTCGAACACAAAGAAGGGTAGAAAATATGCATTATGTTTCAATGATATTCACCAGATTGGATGGATGGATGCTTGCATCTTACTGGAGGGAGACCTGTTTTGCTAATCTTGATACGATAGCTTCGACATCGTCAAGTCCGTTTTTGGTTTAGAAATGAATTGGGAATGTGAGATCCCACATCGGTTGGAGTGGGGAACAAAGCCTTCTTTATAAGAATGTGGAAACCTCTCATTAGCAAACGATTGGCTTGGACTCTTTTGGAGAGAAGCTTTGTTGCTTGCCCTTACCCTTGGGGCCATGACCTTAGAAACTTTATGATTCCATCATTTTTGTGAGGTATTTTTTTTGGTTGAGAACCAACCCTTATATTCCAAGCCCATCACGCCATTTGACCGGTGGTAGAACTTCTGACCGAACAAAAAAGGGTGAGTCACTTTTCACATACACCGGGAGAAAAGGGTGAGTCACTCTTTCACATACACTGGGAGAAAAGGTTATGATAGCAAGTCTCTCCTTGGTCGGAGAGCCTCCAGGACAAAGGGGCGGTAGTCAACCATCCACTCTCGAGATTCATATGGGTCAATCGATCTCCACATCCAGCCAGTTCGCTAAGTAGACTCATTCTACCGAGTTGCAACAAAGGCTGGAACTTTCTTCGTCCTTATCTCCACTACCTATTTCATTCTTCATCTCTGCAAAAATTTTCATTTATTCTAGTAGGGATAGATCAGGTTCCTTGTGTGTAATTTTTTTTACTTTTATTATTTCTTTTTTAAATATAGTTATTTTAAAGTTTTCATTTTCAATATAATCTTAATTAAAAAATTATTAATATAAATTGCAATAAATCGATATATTCTATAAGCATAGAACTGTAAATTCAAATTTTATTATTAATATATGTTTTAACGATTATAACAGTCTTTATGTAATGATCATATGGGTGTAATACATTATATATCTCATAATAGGTCTCATTCTTCGAGAGTCATCGACTATTCCTAACGAAAATGTCGACTAAATATTTTATTTCTTTAAAAGGACTAAGCTACTATGATGTATTCGACCAACTTCAATCCTATTACCTACTAACATCTTAAAACGATCTTTTAATTTATTTTATTGGTTTAATTACAAGTTTAGTCAGTGTGGATTAAGAATGTCGTACATATGTTTGAACTTTCAATGTTATGTCAAATACGTCTTTGATATGTTCAAGAAATTTGTTAAGATTAGGACGGTTGCCCTCATCAATTACGCTGAAGAAAAGCTTCTTATAATCATCAATGTCATTGTCTAGAATCGAGCAAGCAATAGGTACCTTTTATCTTATATTATTTATATAGCATTGTATTTTATTAGTGGTAAAGGGAAACTAATCATTTCCTACAAAGGCATGGAAATCTCTCCCAAACATGCGCGTTTAAAAAACTTATGGCGAAAGCCCAGAAGATAAAATCCAAAGAGGACAATATGTGATAGCGGGGAGCTTGGACCATTATAAAATTATATTAAGTCCAATCACTAGACAGTGCGAGGCATTGATCGGAGTAGAACTATACCCTCCTTAGGCTTGGACCATTACAAAATGATATCAGGTCTAGTCACTAGTGGGAGACATGAATAGGGCTAAACCCTTTCTGAATTTGGACCATTACAAAATGATATCAGGTCCGGTCATAGATAGTACAAAATACTGATCCAAACAGGAACTATACCTTCCTTGGGCTTGGACCATTACAAGATGATATCAAGTCTAGTCACTAGACAATGCGAGACATGAGTAAAACCCTCCCGAATTTGGACCATTACAAAATTATATTAGGTTCGGTCCCTAAAGAGTACAAAACACTGATCCAAATAGGATTAGACCCTCGTAAAAGATGAAACCAAGTAAATTGAGTGGTTGAAAACAAACAAGACCAACAAAGAAGAATAGCAAACATGCCGAAAATAATGGTGTGGAAATAATTTATTTGATATTTTATGTTATTAAAAAATCAAAATTATCATATGATTTAATTAATTTATTAAATAAAAAAGATTTTATTAAAAGAAAACAACGGGAATTTAAATATAGGTTCTTCTTCCTGAACCACGGGCCGGAATTTTCTCGCTCTTAAAACATTCTCCCATCGTCCATTTCGTCTATAATTTATTTCCATTTCCGACCTGTTCTTCCGTGATTTCTTCTCTTCTCTTCTTCAATTTCTCTGAATTTACAGATTCTGAATTCTCCATGGATCTTCAGCACCAGCTTCGAAAACCAACCTTGGAACCAGACCCGCACCTACCCAACATCAAAATCCACCATCCAGCTTCCCCTCGCCACACCTCCACCGCCACCCCCGTCGCCACCCCCACCCCCACTGCCGGCGCCCGTCGCAGGATTGGGGTGGCTGTCGACCTCTCCGAGGAGAGTGCTTTTGCTATTCATTGGGCTGTTCTACACTACATTCGTCCTGGTGATGCTGTCATTCTCCTCCATGTTAGCCCTACTTCCGTCCTCTTCGGTGCCGATTGGGGCTCCATCGACATTACTCTCGATACCGCTGATGATAATCCTGACGATCATAATTCTGGTAACTCTGTTAATGGTCAACATCTGAACCGTACCGAGCGTTCGAAACGTAAATTGGAGGATGATTTTGATGCATTCACTGCCTCCAAAGCTGCTGATCTTGCTAAGCCGTTGAAAGATATTCAGATTCCGTATAAGATTCATATTGTGAAGGATCATGATATGAGAGAGAGGCTTTGTTTAGAAGTGGAGAGATTGGGGCTGAATGCGCTGATCATGAGCAGTCGGGGTTTTGGTGCTGCAAAGCGTGGAAATGATGGTGGGCTCGGAACCGTTAGCGATTATTGCGTGCATCATTGTGTGTGTCCTGTTGTGGTGGTGCGTTTTCCGGATGAGAAGGATGTTGGGATCGGTTGTGATTCTGTTGCTGCGAAGAAGCAGGACAATGGCGCCCCCGAAAAGTCTGTTGATGTGCAGAAGCAGCACGATGACGCCCGGGAAAAGCCTGTTGCTGAGGCCGTGGAGTCCAAAGGTTAGGCATCTCTGTTTTCCATGATTGGTTCTTGCATTATAACTAATGATTTTATTTCATCTCTGAAAATAGAACCGATTTTAAATTAGCCGTAGCTTAGTTTTCAATCTTCATAAAGTTGAATGCTAAGTGTATCGTAATGTTATAAGTTTCCTGTGTGTACTTCTGAATTTCATGCTCAATTATATCTTTTTAACTTTAATTTGAATAGCATTGTGCTGTGGGGTTTCTCCCAAAATATGGGAAATTCGGATTTGGTATTAATGAACTTTGGAATATCTGAAAATTCTTGTTTTTAAGTAAAATATGATGATAATGTAACGCCCCAAGCCTACCCTAGCCGATATTGTCCTCTATGAGCTTTCCCTCTTGGGCTTCCCCTCAAGGTTTTTAAAACACTAGGGAGAAGTTTCCACACCCTTACAAAGAATGCTTCGTTCTCCTCCCCAACCGACGTCGGATCTCACAATCCATCCCCACTTTGGGGCCAGCGTCCTCGCTGGCACTCGTTCCCTTCTCCAATCGATCTGGGACCCCCTTCGGGGTCTAGCGTCCTTGCTGGCACACCACCTTGTGTCCACCCCCCTTCGGGGATCAGCCTCCTTGCTGACACATCGCCCAGTGTCGGGCTCTGATACCATTTGTAACGGTTAAGCTCACCGCTAGCAGATATTGTCTTCTTTAGGCTTTCCCTTAGGCTTCCCCTCAAGGTTTTTAAAACACATATGTTAGGGAAATGTTTCCACACCTTGTAAATAATGTTTCGTTCTCCTCCCCAACCGACGTGGGATCTCATATTATATTTTTTCAGTTCTTCTTTGAATGTTATATGGATGGTGAAATTCCGATACTGAAAGTTCATAGTTCTTGTTATCTTGAGTGATCTATCTTTTCGCAAAACTCTTTTGCCTGCCTCTTTGGATCCATGGCTGATTCCCCAAATGTATATGCTGTGAGTTTGGTCTTCAGATGACGTTACTTGACGTTGAAGGTTTATTACTAATCATTTTCGAGGACTATGTGCACGGAGAATTGCAAGCCCAAGTGATCTGTCTCATGTCCCCGCATCTTTAACTAGTGATCCAGCACTAGGATTATGTGGTTTGATCTTATTAGCAAATAAGATTACAGATACTCATACAGAAAATATACTTTAATTTACTGGCTTGATATCGATACTAGTTTGTCACCGTGGCCTATTTCTGGAAGTCAAAGACACATGTTGTCAGGTAACCTCATGAAAGCCAAAATTTCCAAGCAATGCACGGTTTAGGCTCATGTAAAGATCCTGTGCCTAATGGTTTTACTGCAAAGTTCTTCCAAAGATGTTGGAGAATTCTCATGTCAAATATATTGAGAGAGAGAGAATTCGATTATCAGTTCTTGGGCAAAGAGACTTGCACATGCCTTATTCCATAGAGTGATGATGCTAAAAAGAGAACTATATTCAAGACCATCCGTCTCACCATCTGCCCTTTCAAGATCATTACTAAAGTCCTTGCTAAACATCTAAGGTAGATTCTTCCAGATATGATAATTAAATTGCATGTAACTTTTATCGAGGGAAGGCAAATAATTGAATCTTGCGTCGTTGCCAACAAATAGATTGTTGATTGGAAATGAGAAAAAAAGGAGTGCCCCTCCACACACGTTTATCTTCTCGTAGAAAGAATTAAGTTTTGGTCGTGGGAAACAACAAAAATATAAAAATTTAGAAGGATCTTTGTACTGACCATGTCAAGAACATCCAAACTGTAAAAATTATCTTATCAGTTATGTGTGGAAATTTTAATCTGTCTTCTTGGGATTTAGCTTTCAAAAGGAACTTCAGTAATCATGGGACAACCAAATGGATATCACATATGGACCTCATTACTCATTAGTTGGTGCAGCCTCCTACCTCGCCAAGATAGATGGTTGTGGCTCAAAGACAAGACCGTATGTGCTTTCAAATATAAGTGCCTTTGGTTATATATTCCAAACGATTTTTGTACCGTTGATCCATACCTTTGCAAATGGAGTTGGAATATTAATTATCCTTAGAGAGTAAAGATTTTCATGTCGGAGTTTTTCTTGAAGATTACCAACGCTCATGACAAAGTTCATAGGACAATCCCCATTTGTTGTCTTTCTCCTAATTGGTGCTTAGTATATGAAGATGGTGAAGGATCTGAATACCATCTCTTTTTTATTAGCTTATTGTTTTTCCAAGGAGGACGAACAGAATTCTTTAATTTTCTCCAGTGGCCTTCCTTTCAAAGTGAAACCTACGTCTAGGTAAGAATATTATTAGAGCTTTTCTTTGGACATTCCAGTTAGAAAGTTTTTTGTAGGGGGTAAGGGATCTTTTTTCTTTTGTTGGACCATATTCTTATAGTTTCCTGGTCTTGGTTCAACATATCTAAACCTTTTTTAACTCGTTTTCTTCTGTCTGCACTAGTTGGAGGCTTCTTTTTTGCGCTGTTTTTTTTTTTTTTTTTTTTTTAATTTTTTTAATTTTTTTTTTTTTTTTTGTAACTCCCATACCCCAGGCTGAGGCTTTCCTTCCACTTTTTGTATATTCCAATTTATCAATGAAATAGCCTCTTATTAGGGAAATAATTGCTTGTTTGTGGGAGATTCTTTCTGTAAACGTATGTGTGCTTTTTCACTCTTTCCATGGTATATTTTTGGTTTAAAACCCATTTTTGCTAAAAAGCTTGGACACAAACACGGTGACACATCAATTTCTAAAAAAGTAGGTCACAGATACGCTGAAGACACGTTTTTTAAAAATAATGTATATATACATATATGTATGTTGATATATTAGTATTTCTCTAATGATAAAACATGCAAATTTAATAAAATTACAAAGTATACTTCACTACGAACCTACAAAGTTAAGTTAATTAACAATATTCAAAAAGATGAAGAAAAATTTAGTTAGTTAGAACCAGAGGAAAAAGATGTCATCCCAATAAGTTAGGATTGGTTAATATATAAGATTCCGTCTATAAGAAAATTCTAATGTTTTCTCCAATTTTTAGGTTAAATATTTTATAGAGCCATGTCCATGGAGGAAAAAGGATTCAGACACATTCTTTTAGCGTGTCGGACATGTGTCTAGAGCATGTCCATATGTATTTGTGTTCGTGCTTCCTAGCATTTTGGTCCCTAAATTTTCATAATGTGTATTTTAATCCTTAAAACTTCTTTAAAACAATTTCCCTTTTGTTCCTTGTTATGTTGTTTTCCATGTTCCCTCATCTCTTACTTATGTGGCTTGGAATCATGCTCCTATTAACATGCTATTACACATAGTCCAACGCCATTAATTTGTTAAAATTAAAATAAAATGAAGGACCAAAGCTTAATGACCAAAATACAGTTCAACAAAAGGAACAAGTTGAAAACCAACTTCATGGAATAAGTTGAAAGATTATGAAAGGAGCATCCGAAAATCAGCTCGACAAAAGGAACCTCCAAAGTATTTACATGATATTTAGGGAAGTTGAAACTTGAAAATGTTCCTATACAGAAAATAACAGAACTTGGCCACCTAAACATTTTTTTTAGGTGAAACATTCTTGTTTTTTATATTATATTTTAATTAGTAATGAAACCATTTTTTTTTTATTTGATCTAGAAATATAACCGCATTTTGAGAATTAGTAGGAGCTCTTTGTTAAGATGCATAGCCAAGTATTGTTCGGGAGACTGCCTTTATTCATTGTTGTGGCTCAAATGCTAGTTATTCATTAAAGGACCTGTTATTATCAATGGATATATGAATATGCCCTTTGCTTGTCTAAGTTGAAAATTTGCCACTCCCTTGCAAAACATAATTTTTTAGTAGAACTACAGGAGTAATCTTTATATTGTATTTTCTTCTAATCCTTGTGTTCACAACGCACCACACGAGTTTATTATTTCGATGTTTCAGTGTTTGACTTTACTTTTAGAAGGAAAATTATGTTTTGTGAACTTTGGATAAATTGTTAAAAATTCCAATTTCGTTTTGACAATTCAACACATAAGCTTAATTTATATATATATATATAGAAAAATGGTGTATTTAGATAAGTATATTTTGTTTAAGATAAACCTTAAATGACTTGAAATTGCTTTGAAATAATGTTTTTTTAATAATTTTTAATTTATCAAAGATAAGTGTCTAAAAAAATTGTCGTTTAGTCATCTGAGCATAAATATATATAATAATAATAACAATAAATTTTCATTTGGAATTAAGTTGTATAATATAGCAGTTAAATATATATGCATCTAGGTTAAAATACCATTTTGGTTCTTGTCCTTTCAAATGTCTAATTTTAGTCTTTGTACCTTCAATAATAAATTTTCATACAAGAAAAAGACACTGGATTTATTTTTATAATTTATAAAGGGGATGCTAATAGAAACTAAATGTTTAGGAAGAAAATCAACAATAAACTAACTATGTGGACTAATTTTAAGATTTATTGAAGGTACCTTCAGTTTTTAATCTGGCTAAAGGATGTAAACCTCGTTTGCAATGTGCTGCCAATAACATCTTCAAATCTAGGAGGGGGTTCTTTGGCCAATCATGATAGGGTTCATATCGGAGGTTGAATCTGTCCATGGTTTAAATATATATTAGGAGAGCTGCTTTGTGACTGATATCAACTGAGATCTGCTTTGGTAGGTTAGGTAGGGACAACTTTGTGGGGTGCAAGGTTTTTCTGTTGCTCATAATATACTTGGGCTTTCTTTATGACCATATTCTTAAACCCTCCTTTTGGGGCTCAATTGTGGAGGAAGGTTATAAAGAGTCTCTCGTATTTGAAAAGGGCATGGTTCCCTAGGGGGTTTAGGCTTACCCATTTTTAGACTAAACTGGAAATCCACTCTCCTTTTTGCCTTTCTTTAGAATGTCCTCTTCATTTCCTTGAATCTTTGTTCGGTTTTAAATATTGAGGAGCTTTTTATGGGAGGGAGTAACGGAGGGGGGTGGATTTTATCTTTAACGGAGAAACAGTTTATCAAAGAAGTGATGATTGATGAGGGGAAATTAACTGAAAACCTCTTTATGGTAGTCGATTATGCTGATTCAAAGAATTGGTGCCTTGATCCTTCAGGTATTTTCACGGTTAAATCTCTCTTTAAACATTTGGCAGTATCATTTCCAATCCATTAAGAGAATTTCTCGGCTTTATGGAAATCTAAATGTCTTAAAATTAATATCATTATCTGGATTTGGATTTTGCTTAAGAGCAGCTTGAATTCCTCGAATGATTTACAAAAGAAGACTCCATCATCCTCCCTTATGACATAAGTTGACTACTGTGCTGCTTGGATTCAAAAAGCTGGAAGCATCTATTAATTGATTTCTCTTTTGCGTTATCTGTTGGCAACAGCTTTTTGGGTTCTTCAGTACTCGTAGTTCTTCAATAACTGTAAGTGCAATGCACTTTGTTTGCTCACTGGTTCTTGTTTTCCTTCAAGGCCTCTATTATTATGGGAAAAGTAAATGCAGCTAAAGTTATTATTTCAGAACTTTGGCAGGAACACAATCAAGAATTTTTTTAAGCCAGCAAAGATGCTGGTCGCTCTGTTTTGAGTCGGCTAAACTGAATGCTTCCCTTCGATGTTCATTTTCCAAGCTTTTCCATGGGTTTGCCCTACAAGATATTTGTCCTAAAAGAATTGCCTTCTTGATTTAGTAGTTATGGTGCCTTCCCTCTTGGTTTAGTGGTTTGTCCTACGTATATGTGTCATTTTTATAGTAAAAAGAATGAAACATTACACTTCAGTTTGATTGTTATTGCGTTTAAGTGTTGCTATCTTAGATGTGCAGTCAACTTTTTGCACGATACCCAAAGTAACATATATATTATGTTTGTGTTTTGCAGTTTGCAAGATTATAAATTAGATTACAAATCTTAGCCCCGCCGTGTTCCATTCAAGTTTGTAGAATGTATTTCACCACTATCGTTTCTTGAGTGATATGTATATGATAACATGTTGCTTTTCAATTGCTTTTCAATGTGCTTGTGCTTCCCTTAGAGCTTAAATGGGTATGTGTTTTCGGGAGTTATGATACTTTTTAAACTGTGGGATCCTACATCGGTTGAGGAGAAGAATGAAACATTCTTTATAAAGGTGTGGAAACATTTCCCCAGCAAATGTGTTTTAAAAACCTTGAGGGAAAGCCCAAAGAGGAAAAATTAAAGAGAACAATATCTGCTAGCGGTAGACTAAATGTGTTTCCGGAGTTATGATACCTTTTAAATTGTGAGATCTCACGTCAGTTGGGGAGGAGAACGAAGCACTCTTTACAAGGACGTGAAAACGTCTCCCTAGCAGATGCGTTTTAAAAACTTTGAGGGGAAGCCCAAGAGGGAAAGCCCAAAGAGGAAAATATGTGCTAGCAGTGGCTAGGATCGTTACATAAATGGCATCAATAAATGACTATGACTAGGTGCCGTCTCTCTTTCCACGGGTGTTTAGATGGTAATATCCAAATCAAAGATGGGTTTTCCCATGAGGATATGTACCCAATTCCTCTGTTTAGATCTCTATACAACTAACTCCCTGGCTTATTTTGTTTCTCCAAATGAAAATTTGTTTCATGAGTTTCATATCATCTGTATGTAGGTGTTTAATCTTTGTTTGTATTCCTTCTTGTAGTTTGTCATGAAAAGCTTGCATCATCCTGATTAGCTGAGGTGCAAACTGGATTGTCGATTTTGAATCTGAATTGCAGAGCCCCTGTTTTCCCCCACACAAGGAAACCGTGAATAAGAAAATAATGTCTGCATGATTTGAAATTGATGTATGGCCTTTCATATTGCTTAATTCGTTTGATATCAATAATATATTTCCCTCTTCTGCCACGATTATTATCTATCTGGTTGATAATTACCAAAATCCTCGAACAAATTTGTTGTGTTCGCTTGAATGTCTCATTAATGGTTTAATTGTAAAAATCTCCATAGTTCTTTATGACCCTTCTTAATATTACTCAGCAAAAGCCCCCGGTTTCCGAAGATAGACAGGTGATAGTTAATCGGCTCGAGGGCTCGAGAAAATTATCAATACTATTATAGTACATACTTCTTCAAAATGAAAGACAATCCAACCCAAGAATAGTTGTACTATAACAGCGAAAGCTCGCTGTTAGTAGATATTGTCCTTTTTGAGCTTTCCTTTTCGGGCTTTAAACCCCGTCTTCTAGGGATATGTTTCCACACCCTTACAAGAAATGTTTCGGTCTCTCCTCCAACCGATGTGGGATCTCACACATACATGTATAGAGCGTAGGTATCTACGTGTAATAGGTTATAGTTAAGCATTATGGGTTAGGAACTTAGGAGAAGTGAAATTTGATTCTGGATTTGCCATCACTCTTATCTCTGGAAGGCTGCAGGAATTGGGTTGTCTGGTGCACAGCAATGGAAGGACAAGCTTGGAAGCATTAGGAATTGTGTGCTTTATTCTCACCTCTTAACTTTTTTTTATCTCTTTTTATCCTTCTTTTTCAGCCACTTGTTGTTGTCAGATGATCTGTCTGTCTTTGCATTTTACTCTGTCCAACAATGGGTGACTCTTGCTTGTGGGGTTGGAAGGGCATTTGAATATGTTAGTGAGTTTAAAGCAAGTATTGAATTATAGCATGAACTTGGATGGGTGCAGGACATGCCCTCCAGATAGAGGACCTACAACCTCCCATCTAACTAAGAACGAGGGATCAATCAGCAAAATGAGACCAAGGAAATAAAATATACCTTTTCCTAGGCCACCTAGTTGACAACAAATCGCAAAGGGGTTGGACCCTTTGCATTTAAAGGTGTGGAAGATGTAACTCCAAGACAAATGAATCTATCCTACGTTTAACAGAACAGGCTCGTGAATTTTAAAAGACGTCGTCGAATAAATATGTGAGATCCCACTTTGGTTGAGGAGGAGGAAGCATTTCAAAACCTTGAGGAGAAGCTCTCTCTACCCGATAGTTATATGCAACAAGTCGTTGTTGTTGCATTTTGCTTACATTCCTATATAACACCAATTTCAGTTTCTCAAATCTTGCTTTCAAAACTCTATTTCAAAATCTCTTTAACCGAGGCCAGAGGCTCAAGCATACATCGCTTGACCGTAAGTGACGCGAGAACGAATAAGTTTAGGTCACTTGTTGCTAAAAAATGAGTGCCGCACAATCGCAAGTCCGCTGCCATCGAAATGCGATTGTGATAAGTGTATCACATCGTGAACAATATCTATTAGTAATGAGTTTAAATTGTTACAAAATAGGTAAAGCCTTGACGAGAAGCTCAAAAGAAAAAGTTTAAAGTGAACAATATCTACTGGTGATGAGGTTGAATTGTTACAAAATAGGTCAAAGCTAAAGAATATTTTAGATACAAAGACACTTAAAATCAAGCTCGGGCTCAATGACGCATTTAATATAACTAAAAATAGGATTAACAATAAATTCTCATAATGTTTTGAAGGCCAAATGGCATAGAATTAGTTGAAATAGTTAAAGCATTGGATCTAAACATGTGGTTAGGAAAAGAAAAGTTATCATATGATTGACATTATTCTTTTAATTTTTTAATTTTTTTTTTATAAAAATTATTATTATTATTTTCTTGCAACTATAATAATGCCAATAACATAACATAAAAATGGATAACATAATTGAAATTCAGGATAGAGGCAATTTCCATATTTGGGTTCAAAGCAATAATAATAATAATAATAATAATAATAAATAAATAAATAAATAAATAAATAAATAAATAAATAACAGCCACACAAATGAACCCAACAACTAGATGGGATAATTGGTTACTTGATTTAATTACTAAATATGTGTGGAAATTCAAAAATCATTTTCTTCCTCTCATTTGCATAATTTATAATATTAGGTGTGAATCTTATAATATAAAGTGTGAATCTTATAATATAAAGTTTTTAGCTAAATTAGTCAGATATGAACGTGTAACATTCTTATTATTTTTTAAAATTATATATAGTTTTTTTTATATTATAATAAATGCATTAAAAAGTGAATTAAATTTTTAAAAAATATTTATTGGTAAAGAAATAGATGATTAAAATAAAATTGTGTTTATCCTAAATGGTTGTGAGGTGAATCTTAAGGCATAATTAATTTGGATGAAAATGATTAGTGGAATAAATTAATATTTATGAATATATTTTAATTTATATTATAAGTTTGACCCATAACTTAGCTTATGGTCTGTTGGTCACATCCAAATAAATATTATATATTACTAACTACTTTGTCTTTTCCTACTCTTTTTTTATTTTCTAACCTAATAAATAAATCCATTTTTTATTTTAAACCTTCAATTTTTTTTTTTTTTTTTATATTTAAAAGTTAAAATTAAAATTTTCAGAGAGTATAATTGAAATTATTTTATAATTTAGCATTTTTTATAGTCTAAGATTTCCAAATAAATGTTGGCGGGTCAAGGTCGAGCCAAATGACTAGCGTGTGTGATTGAACAAGCTTGGATTCTATCAAGACACCTCTCCTAAAGCGCCACAAAGTCAGGATCAAAAATATTGGATTCTACTAAGACAGTCATGAGCGTGTGATGATCATAACGCCGCACGATCTAAGATTTCTAAATAAATATTGGAGAGATAATCCCGGACAACAGTAAAGCTGCCACAAATCTATTGAATGGTAAAAAATGAGGGTTTTTTTTTTCTTAAATTTATTTATCAGAAAAGAGTAAGATTCCCTTTCTAATTTAATTAAAATTAAAACTATATGCTAAAAGACGAATGTAAGGCAATTTTGTTTGATTTTATATATTTAAAAGGAACCGTTAAATTATAAAATATATCCTAAACGATAAAACTATATTGAATTTGAGGGTAAAAAACGTCATAAACAAAAGAATAAAATTGCGTGGTGTCGTAATATTGCGCCTTGCGCGGTGTCGTAATATTGCGCCTTGCGCGGTGTCGTAATATTGCGCCTTGCGCAGTGTCGTAATATTGCGCCTTGCGCAGTGTCGTAATATTGCGCCTTGCGCTCACAACCAACGAGAATTAATCCCCATATATATTTTTCGTCCAATGGTTTGCCTTAGGTGAGGTTTGTCTTTTTTCGTCCGACTTTATGGTTCCGTTGTGCCTTATGCGAAGTTTGTCTTTTTTCGTGACTTTATGGTTTCGTCGGGCCTTAGGCGAGATTTGTCTTTTTTCGTCCAACTTTATGGTTTCGTCGGGCATTAGGCGAGGTTTGTCTTCGCCAATCGAAAATCGCTTGTGCAAATTATATGCTTGTTCAACCACACACGCCGCCTACGCGTGCATGTTAAATCGTCTGCGACACATCCAACTTACCTCTACACCAACTCGACCTTGCCTCTGTTCGGCGCCAAGGTCTCTCAATGCAACGCTACATTTCATCTTGTCATCTCGATCCCCACCAACATGGTTCATATGCCTTGACATCATCCCAAGTCTTGGGGTGCCGTCAGCCATCGCAACTCACTCGATCATGTCTTCGAGAACGGGCCCACATGTTACTCATCTCATCAAGACTTCCCAAACATCCATCCAATCGAATTCTATCGAGGCATCGACGCTCTCATGCCCATGTTAAGTCATTTAAAGATACCGTGCCAAATAGCAGGTGTATGTAACAACCTCCAACACATGAGCTAAGACGCAATACCGGCACACTTGTGTCTCCCAATACTGTCCTTGAAAAATCCATTTCAAAGGAAGTCGCCCAAGACACTCGTCTCAACACGCTCACCCACCACACTGTTACACACGTATGTGCCATAGGGTAGCAGCACAAGGTAGCTCACTTAGGCCACAAAGCCTAGGGGGTACGTGTTTATTTTTTTGTTTCTCTTTTGACGTGTTTGAATTTATTTGTAAGCTTCCATCATATTAGTTTCAATAAATAATAAAAATAAGCTACACAATGCTGCAAGCTTCCGAAATACCATGAGATCTTCATAAAGGAGATTCATTAGCTCGTTATTTAGTAAGACTTGGTGAGATGAAGGAATCCAAAAAAATTATTCAACAAGCTTTGAAAAGAATTTCAGGGGGATCTTATAAAAATTTAGAAATACGATGTACAGACTGATGCACATAAGACCTATTCTAGACCAAATAGATTTAGGAGTTCAACCACTAAACCAATTTAGGGTAAAATTTGTTTTTTCTGCCCTAAAATATAATACCCACATAGAATCTCCTAAAGAAAGCAAGGATCACACCACAACAAATCTCCAATATTCTTCAGCAAAAACCTGTTTGGCACACACAAAAAATATCAACACTACATCCTTATTTTATTTCCAACAACCAAATCTCTTCCACAGAAGGAAGTTTTAAGTGCAAGAAATAACCAAAACCCACAATTTAAAAACAATCTATACCTAACATTTCACCATAACCATCCACCAATCCATGGCCTGCTTGTCTCATGCATCAAGACACACCCTACAACACACACAACCACACACATGCCTACACTTCTCGCCGCCCATCGTTCAAAAACGAGTGGCAAGGATAAATTCCAATTCTATTTCTAAATTCCAAGTGGTCTTTCTCTCTCTTCCTCTCTCTTTCAAAACATATGGCCAAGATGGTTCTTGAAAAAAGTAAATGGGTATCGTGGATAATTGTTTCCAAACACTTATCTGTTAACATCAAGGAATTTGTAGTCAACCAATGGCCTGAATGTAGTCATGGTTTTGAACAGGGAGGAAGTCTAAGAACCACTCATAAAAATTGACCCAAAAGGAATTGGCAAACTTAAAAAGATCATTCTTGATCAAAATCCTAGCTAAGAATTTGAAGGGCAGCAGCAAACACAGACCATACTTTCTGAAATGTATGCAAACATGGAGATTCCAATCAACAAGGTCGGCCATGAACTTACTATTATA